AGGCAGTTAGGGTAGCTGTAGGAATTCGGTAGTACCGGGCCTGTATTTTCCCGGATTTGCAGATCTGTCCCTCACGAATTTCCTTACAGGCAGGTCTCTCGGTTAGCCCTCAGCCAAACAAAATTACGAATCTAACCTACCGGGTTAGTGTACAGCCTCGCTGTCAACCTTGGCAGCAGAAATCAGCAAGTCATTGCAGGCTTACCCTCCCCGAGAGCGAGGACCTCCGAGCTAGGGGTGCAGACGAGGCGAACGGCGAAGGTCACCCTTCTGAGCCGCCTCATAGCGCAGTACAACAGACTTTGTTGTCTTGATCAGGTCTCTTCTGTAGAACCACCGGTTCTCAGAAGGGGGCTGGAAAGCGAACCTGACAAGATACTGCCGGTCGGGGCCTGTGCCCCACTCATCCTCAATGGCCACCACATCATATCCCTTGCCAGGGATTGGTGGGCCCCATTGAGGGGGCCGGTTAGGGAATGCATCAGCTGGCGTGAAAGGCAGCAGCTTGGATGTATGGAAGACCGGGTAGGTGCGTAGATGCAGCGAGACGTCGATGACATACGACGGACCGAAGGGATCAGCGCCCACTGTATCTAGGACCTGCCATGGACCCAGGTAACGTGGCAACAACTTGGGAGACATATCCTCCTCCCTCGACAGCTCAGAACTGGCCACCCAGACATGATCACCAGTACAGATGGGGGACGCCTGTGGCGATTGACTTGTTCAATCATGGCCTTTTGGGCCTTGAACAAGTTCGCGCGGGCTCTTTCCATATCCAGACGATAGCGTCTGGCGAACTCTGCGGTGCCTGGCGTCAGATCAGGCTTAGCCTTGTCGATGATATCATCGAGAGGCTGGCGTGGTTCACGTCCCCAGTGTAACCGGTAGGGACTGAACCCTGTCGAGGAGTGGACAGACATGTTATACATGAGCTGTGCCCTCGCTAAGTGAAGATCCCAGTCCTGTTGATCTGGAGAGATGACAGGACGCAGCAGCTGGAATAAGACTTGGTTCATCACCTCAGCCAATCCATTGGCTTCAGGATGATGACCATAAGTCATGTCCATTTGTGAGTGCAAATAGTCCTTGCAGTAGGACTGCCACTCATCGCTGCAGAATCTGGGGTCACGATCACTGACGATAGAGATGGGCGGTCCATGGTGTGTGACCCACCTCTCAGAGAAGGCCGCTCTCACAGCCGGTACCCTAGCTACCTTTGGCAAGGGGATGAACTCTGCGTATTTGGAGAACCTGTCCATGCAGACCATAACCTGACGCATGCCACGCGGGGTGGTCTTGCCTAAATCTGTGAAGTCTATCGACACAGATTGAGCAGGGCCATCAGGTATGGGTAAGGGTTTGAGCAGTCCCAAAGGAGGTTTACGCTGAACCTTGGTCCTTTGGCAGAGCTCACAGGTGTCCACATAACGCAGCATCTCACTCCGCATCTCCTTCCAGAAGAAGCGCTGCAACAAGGCTGCATAAGACTTTAGGAACCCGAAGTGTCCACGGGCATCATGACACTTTGACAGCAGTAGTGTCCTGAGCCGCTGGTCCTGGGGAATGCACAAGCGCTCCTCATCTCTGTTGTAGGTGTACAGCAGGTCTGAACTCATAGCATAGCCTGGTTCAGAGTTAGGATCTGCTTGCAGATTCCTAACAATGGGTCCAAAAGTCTCGTCCTGAGGCAGTAGACGAGCAATGGTCTGACGGGTCTCCTCTCCAAAGGAGTGAGTAGAGGAGATCAGAGCAAAAGAGTCAGGCCTACGGGAGAGGGCATCTGCTACCTTATTGTAGCAGCCCTTCTTGTGTTTCAGTTCAAATTCAAACATGTCTATGAACTGAGTGTACCGTGCCAGTTTATCGTTCAACTCTCCATGGGACTTCATCCACTGTAGGGTGGAGTGATCTGAAAAGATCTTGAAGTGCCTGCCCAGGAGAAAGTGCTTCCAATGTTTCAGGGCACAGACAAAAGCATACAACTCTTTCTCGTAGGTAGAGTCCTGGAGCTTTTGAGTCTTGATCTTCTTACTCATAAACTTTACAGGCCGTAGACCATTCCCATCATCCTGCTGAAGTACTGCCCCAATGCCATACTGACTAGCGTCAGTGGTCAGGATGAATGGCAGAGTGGGGTCAGGTAACTTCAGGACAGGCGCACGAGTCAAGGCCTTTTTGAGTCGTGTGAAGGCCAACTGACAGTGGAGGAACCAAAGAAAGGGAGTGTCCTTCTTTGTTAGGTTAGTCAGGTGTGCAGCCACTGCAGAGAAGTTCCTGACAAACTTTCTGTAGTAGGAGGCCAAACCCATGAAGGACCGGACATCCCTCACTGTCTGAGGCTGAGGCCACTCCTGAATAACAGCAATCTTGGCTGCTTCAGGAGCCAGGCCATCTCCAGAGATTACATGACCCAGATAGATGACAGAGGGAACTCCAAAAGAGGACTTCTCTCTGTTGATCTTATACTGACTGTCACGTAACGATTGGAGAACTAGAGCCAAGTGTTTCGCATGTTCCCTGGCAGTTTTGCTGAATGCCAGGATATCATCCAGGTAGACAACCATAAACTTGTCCAGGTAAGGCCTGAAGATGCGGTGCATCTCTGTCTGGAATGTGCCTGGGGCATTGCAAAGTCCAAATGGCATGACCAAGAACTCGTATGTCCCATACCTGGTCTTGAAGGCTGTCTTGTAGACATCCTCCTCTGCCATCTCAATCTGGTGGTAGCCAGATTTGAGGTCGACTTTGCTGAACACTGTGCAGCCCTGCACCATGTCTAGGAGGTCATCGATCCTAGGAAGTGGCTCAGTACTCTTCCTAGTGATCTTATTGAGACCCCTGTAGTCAATGCACATCCTGAACTCGCCGTTCCCTTTGGGTACAAAGAGAACAGGTGCACCGAATTCAGATGTGTTGGGTCTAATCCAACCTTTGCTGGTCAGGGTCTCAAGCTGCTTTCTGAGCTCCTCAAGCTTAGCAGGGGACATCTTGTAGATGCGGCCCTTGGGAGGGACCGCTCCAGGCAGCAGCTCGATGTGATGCTTGGTTGGCCGGTTGGGTAGTCCAAAGGGCTCCTGCATCAGATCTGCATACTGGTCCACTACCTGTTGTACCTCTGGAGGACAGAAAACAGGGGGAGCATCTGTTTGCTTGACCAGAGCAATGAACAGACGCTCATGGTGGTACTGGCGAGAGAGAGCATGGAACTCCCTCGCTCTCAGGCAGTAGCAGGTCTTAGGGTGGTGATCAGCAGCAATCATGCATTGTTGATACACCCCCTAGCTGTTTGGTAGCTCAACTCTAGGGATCTGCCAGTCGATCCTAGGGTTGACTGCCCTCAACCACTGCATGGAGAACACCAAGTCAAAGGGCAGATCAGGGAAGACATAAAAGTTCAGACTACGTCTGACTTTCCCAGCAGTGTCAAAGGTCACAGGAATGCCTTTGACCTTCTCCCTGATGCTGATCACTGTAGAGTCACCAATCTGCACTTGCAACGGATGTTGCAATTGTTGGACTTTCATACCCAAGTGCAGCTTTTTAACTGCACTGGGGGATATGAAGTTTCGGGTGGCTCCACAGTCCAGAAGCCCAGTGATCCTGGTGCGATTGATCAGTGGCCGAAGCATGATGAGTTCAGACAGGCCCTTCTTCTTCTGCTCTTTCAAGTGGAAGAAGAAGGCGACAATGGACTGAAGCTCATCCTGCCCCGGGTCCTGATCCGGGTCAGGATCCTCATAGCAGAAGGATGCTGCCCGCGCAGTCCCCAAACATACATCATCACAAACAACCTCAACTGAAACAGCTGCAGATTCACCTACGTGAGCAGATGAAGGTGCAGCACGGGGGGGAACTGCAGTCCCCAGGGTCTGTTTCAGTTTTTCGACTGACCCGGGCCTGGCATGTAAGGGCAGTCCTTTAAGAAGTGTTGTCCTTCACATCTCAGGCTGACCCCCTTCTCCTTTCTTCTTCTCCAGACTCCTTCCTGGATCTTGAGGTCATGCCAGGGGAGTTTGGTGGGATTGAGAGGGTCAGCTGGCATGTGGACGTCTCTAGGCAATTAGGGCGCTGGGAAGAGGAAGGACAACGTCCCTTATCCTTCCCCTTGGTAGTGGCTGAGGCTGTGGGGGTGGAGAACTTTCTCTGCGACTGCAGAGCACCCAAAACAGCCTGAGTCACTACTGCAGCAACATCTGTCTCAGCAGCAGATCCGATCCCCCCTGAAGGCACATCAGGCTGAGAATCGGTATCTGATCCTGAGGCAGATCCCACATGAGTGAGGGCTGCCTTTCCCCTTCTGCTACCTCTAGGGAAGGCACCCTTCCTCTTGTCAGAGGTTGGGGCCTGGACATGGAGCTTGGCCTCCATTTCCAGGGCTGCACGACCAAAGGACCTCCAGTCCTTGTATCCAACGCTGTAAAGTGCAACAACAAACTTCTCAGGCGCGGCCCTGCAAAAGCTGGTCAACATATCATCAGGTGCCATGACCAGCCCAGGGGTGGAGGTGAGCTGCTCGAACTCAGCAAACAAGGCCTGTAGGGTACCGCTGTACCGCAGCTGTCCCAGGCGAGCAATCCTGTCAGCAGCCTTGCGGGCCCGCTCCTTGTCTGCAAACCGGTCCTCTAGGGCCTGCAGAAGTTTGTCTACCCCCAACCCAAAGGCCCAGTCCTCCATGGACTGTTGCAGGCTGCTGGAGGTTGAGGTGGCCCACTTCAGTGCAGGCCCTTCCAGCAGCCCCAAAACAGTTGCCACCTTGGTCTGTTCTGCACAGACAAAGCCCCTCAAGTAGGCTCTGGTTTCAGCAGCCCAGTCCCCAACATCAGTCTTGGGGTCATCACCCCTGAACTTGTTGGGAGCAGGGATCTTGGGACCTCTGTCTGCTGCAGTCACAGCAGCATAGGTGGCCTTTACTGAGGCCTTTCGGGAAGGAGTAGATGACCGGGAAGAATGTACAGATCCCCCATGGGATGAAGGAGGGGAAGGAGGTGGTGAAGGAGGAGGAGAGGTTTTGGGTTTCAGCAGAGGGAGCTGAGGAGTAATCAGCTTGGCGGCTGCCAGCTGAGCAGACAAGCCCTGGATAGATTCCAGGATCTTGGACTGTTGAGCTGACAACTCGTCAACCCGACGCTCCAGCCGCACAAAACGGTCATCCCAGTTTGTGAACTGGGAGCTGGTGATCTTGTGCTCCAGCAGGATCATCTCAGCCATGTGCTTGGTGATCTGGGCACAACGGTCATCGGTGAGTGACTTCTCTAGCTGCTGCAACAAATACTCTCTTCTGGAGTGATCTGTTGCAGCCTCTAGCTCAGCAGCCTCTTGCCGTGCCAATTCAGCTACTCTGGCCTGTTGCAGCTTGAGCTGCTCTTCTGCCTCCTTCTTCAGCCTTTGAGTAGCAGTCAGAGGTGGAGAGGGTGCAGTGGAGGAAGAAGGTTGTTCACCTTCTGCCTTCACCACCACCTCTACCTTTGGCTGTTGCTCATTCCCCTAATCAGACATTTTCCCAGTTCAAATAAAAACCCAAAAATAAAATAACAGCAAAAGAACTGCAGCGATACACAGATTCCTGCAGATACCCTGGAATCGCTGCAGCACTCAACACTGGAGTAGGTGGGTAAGTAGGCAATCAGCGGTTTGGGGTTAGAAGGGTGTCTCTGGGGTCAGGTGTCAGGTAGACTGTAAGTCCAGCAAAATCGGTCACACGATTTCCTTTTACTGACCCTGGACCACACTGGAAGTAACACAGTCACTCCACTAGTCTTCCAGAGACCCACTAGAAGTTCCAGTGTCCACTAGAAAACAAATGTAGTCAGTGGGAATGATGGAAATGGTTAGTATTGACAAGAGATATCAAATACAACAAGCGATGCAGACAGTTACCCTGCAACCTAGCTCAGACTCAATTTCAGACCCTAATGACTCTGACGGCCATACCCTAGGGTATGGCGAATCACAGTTTTCACTGTATCCAGTGAAATACTAGAAATCCAACTCTGTGATTTGACAGTACTGACTGTTTTCAATTTGCGATTTACTGGGGACTGACAGAACTGAATTCTGACGGACAGAATTGAAGTTATGACTGACCCTAGGTAGCACAGGCTAAAAATAGACTCAGCACAAAACAGCAATTCCCAGTATCACTACTTTTCCAGTGCAGAGTTCGCTGTTTGAACCTCCCAGAACAATCGCAATACAGTATAGCTGTCACAAGACAAGTTTGGACTAGAAAGAGTCAACAGATGATGAGATATGAGAAGAGGGAGGTAGGGGGAGAGATGGCTATGGCTGAAATGCAGTCTGCGATTTTCATATCCAGTCACTGACAGAGAGATAGACCATTATCTTTCACTAAACTACTACTGTCTGGACCGCAATACAGGTAGGTGCATGGAACGGACTCACTTGCAGAGAATCTTGCAGGTGATGATGAAGATATGGCTATGGCTGATGATACCCTGATCTCGCCAATTTCCTCCAGAGCTTCTCCCAGACAATCCCACGCACAGAACCTCCTCAAAATTGTTGATCCTCCTCAGGATCCTGTAGCGATACACCCCTTCACTCCAGATACCTTGTATCTGGTCCTGTGGCACCCAATTCGCCAACACCACAATCTCTCGCCACAGTGTCATAGCCGCTGATGCTAAAAATAGCCCCAGATGGGAGATTGATACAGTGTGTCAATCTCTATCAGCGCCACCCAGGGATGCTGCCGCTCAGGTCTCCCTGATGTCCTCAGGGGTAATTCGCCACTCTGGGGTATCTCGCAGTATCACCCTCAGGGTTGGCTATGGCGAATTAGCCCTGTACTCGCCACTCCCTGACAAGCGCCCTGACAGGCTCAGTGCGCTTGCTCAATACAACCACTGAACACTTGAATCCATCGCCGAAAGTCTTCTTCCCTGCTGACTCAGTACTGGGGAAGATGAATCGCCATGTAACTCTGACTAGTATATCGCCAGGATGAAGAAGATGCCTCAATGCGCTCAACCCTGAGTGCTCCAATTCCAATCTCGCTACGATACCAACTGTTATGAACTTGGTTGTCTGGCGAATTTTCTCGCCACTCACACACAGACAATCTCACACATGCCCATACATGCGTAAGAGAAGGGGAGAGAAGAGACAAAGTCCACACTGCACACAGGTGAAGATAAACAGAGGAAGACAATTATGCACAGCAGGGGAGAAGACACACACTGTTTCTCACTCTCTGACACAACTCCCAACAACCAATCACAAGCAAGAACCTGCGAAGATCACAATTGAAACTATCACTGATGATGAGCCACTCACACAATTAGCGTAACAGAGTTTGTTCCAGTATCTCGCCACACTCAGAACTCACACCCCACTCTCTATCCTACACCCAGTTAGTAGCGCTGCATCAGAACAGCCTCCCAGAGGCCAGCGCCAACCACCCTGATGAAGAACAGGTCCTGCGATGAAGTCTTCAGTGCCGATGGACAACTCTGACGAAGGAACAGGCAGCTATGGCTGCCACCACCCACGAATCACCACTGTAGAGCCTCGATACAGCCCGGCCGTACACAGATACCCCYAGGGGTAGATGYGCTGAGGATGCCCCAGCTATGGCAGACTCAGAGAGSGCCGRCTATGGCTGCTGTCACGGTGTGTCTCAGGATGCCGCCTGTAGACAGGTACCGCCGCCAACTCGCTTGGCTTCTCCAACGCTGCTCGCGAGAAATGAACTGCCAAAAGTCCTGAACCGATGAGCCTAACCTATCTATAGACTCTCTAGACCTAGACCGGACTAACTGACCGACCGGTACCGTTGCTGTTTCGGCCTCTCGGCCTCTACCGACCCGGCTATAGGCTATAGGACCGTCTAACAGTATAGGCCGCTTAGGGCCTGTCTGTCCTAGGGGTAGCTCGGGCCTGCTATAGGCAGTTAGGGTAGCTGTAGGAATTCGGTAGTACCGGGCCTGTATTTTCCCGGATTTGCAGATCTGTCCCTCACGAATTTCCTTACAGGCAGGTNAGGCAGTTAGGGTAGCTGTAGGAATTCGGTAGTACCGGGCCTGTATTTTCCCGGATTTGCAGATCTGTCCCTCACGAATTTCCTTACAGGCAGGTATCTCGGTTAGCCCTCAGCCAAACGAAATTACGAATCTAACCTACCGGGTTAGTGTACAGCCTCGCTGTCAATCTCGGCAGCAGAAATCAGCAAGTCATTGCATAAGGCTCATTACCAGTCTCTAAGCCATAGGTTGTGTGGCCGATTCTTGGATTGGACAGAAAAAGTGTCTTGGGTCCGAGGAAAGGTCAGCGGACAGAATGTTCGCACAAGAAGGATAGTATTCAGTCAGCCCATCATCCGAGGCGTCCACAACAGAAACAGGCTCCATTGCACAGAGATAGAAAAAAACAAAGGCAACAAAAAGTGCCATCAACAACCGTCACCCTGCGTGCTAGACACTGAGGGAGGACTGAGGGAGTGGCTGATGCGCCAAGGAGAATTGCCGAAAGGGGGGTGGGTGAGGTCTCTTGAGGGGGGAAGACCCATTTGTCGAAAAAAAAACAAAAACAAAAAGGATCATCAGATACCCACCCTCAGACAGCCAACAAGTCATCTCTCTTCTCCTGCCCAACAGGTCAACTTCCAGTCTGGAACCCCTTTTTTTTTTTTTTTTTTTTTTTTTTTTTTTTTTT